AGAAAGCATTTAAGGAGCACGGCCAGTTTCATCCCCTCACCCCCATCCCCCCACATATACACTTGCTTCTTCAGGGTCCCCTAGAGGAGCAGCAGGGTATCTCTAGATGCAACTCAAGCTCAGTTTGTTTGTTTTTGTTTTTCTTTCATTCTTATTTTTCTTTTAAACAATAACAAATACAAGAAGTATAATTTGCTTGTTTAAAGATGCACACTTTTACTTTGCATAAAAAAATGATAAAACTTAAATCTTGAAATATACTCAATATAGCCACAATGTTTGTTTGGATTCATCCACATTTGTACCATTTTAATTGCGCTTTATTTATTCCCTTCCATATCTCCATGAAAGGAGCTCTGGTGGCTAGTGCCTAAGGCATTTGGCTGCTAACCAGAAGCTTGGTGGTTCAAACCCACTAGCCACTCCATGGAAGGAAGACTCGGCAATCTGCTTCCGTGAAGGTTGACCACCTCAGAAACCCAAAGAAGGTCTCTATGAGTCAGAATCAACTGGATGGTAGTGATTTTTTTTTTTTTTTTTTAATATGACATTAAAGGAGCTCTGGTGGAGTCTGGCTGCTAATCAGAAAGCCTGTGGTTCAAACCCACCAGCTACTCCTCAGGAGGAAGATGAGGCAATCTACTTCCATGAAGATTTACAGACTTGGAAACCCAGTGGAGGTCACTATGAGTGAGAATCCACTTAATGGCAGTGGATTTGGTTTTGGTTTTTGGTATATCTCCCTTTCCTCCTTTTAGGATCATTTTCTTTCTGCCTGAAAAATACTCTTAAATATTTTCTATGGTGTAAGTTTTCTCCTTATCAATCAATCTTTCTTTCCTTCCCTCTCTCTGGTTCATTCACTTTATTTGGAAAAAATACACTTAAAATTAATAACAAATTCAAATAACAAATTCAGGCTCAGTTTTGAGAGCCTTATTTATTTGGTTTTGGAAAATCCAGTGATGTAAGTAATCTTCTCTGCCTTTGACTGTGATGCAAGCTTGTTCACTCCACACTGAGACCACATCCTTCCTGCTCCTGCTGGGGCTGTGACTTCTTTAAATGCATTGCATTTCCTCTCTATTATTCCTAAGGCTGGTGTCTGGGTGAGTTGGGGTCCATGGAGTCGGGTGGCTGAATGGGTTGGGGAGGAAAGGGAGGATGAGTCTATGGGCAGAACTTGTCTTGGTCAATGAACTAGGAATTTAAGCTTACACCTGCAAAGTCTGTCCTTCAACAATATTTCTGGCATGTATTTTTATGCTTATCATTATTCTGGGACCTATGTGTGTGTGCAAGTGTGTGTGTATGTGTGGGGTGGAAGGAGGAAGAACAGAAGGCAGAGACAGAAGACATAGCTTACACCCAAGGCTTCATTGGATTTGCCAAGCATTCTCTCAGGTGGTCTGATGGATGGCACGAATGTGAGGAAAATTATCTCCTAACAACAAAGAGGAAGTAGAAATAAAGATCAGAATAGAGAGTGCTTGGGCTGCACTTCTTGAATGCAGAGGAGAGATGGAGGCCTGATTTGGACAGTGAAGCATCAAGAAAGATTGATGCAACAGGAACTGGTAGGGGTTAGGGAGCAGAAGGGCCTGTTTGGAGAAAAAGTGTCTCTTAGATGCATAGGGAAATGGGCTTGGGGGGAGTATTCAGACAGGAGCAGAGGGGCAAGAATAGACATAGAAAGGAGGTAGTGGAGGAGATGAGAGAGTTTGAAGTGTCTTTTTGAACATTAAATTGAGGTCATTATAAATTCAAATTCAGAGAGTTGCCCAATTTCACAGAACAACTCCCTTTACCATTGGGCTTCAGGCTAGTATATTGCTTTTTTAGGGAGTCCCTGGGTGGTACAAATAGTTGACACACCATTCAGCTACTAACGGAAAATGGAGTCCACCTAGAGGCATTTTGGAAGAAAGGCCTGACAATCTACTTCCGAAAAATCAGCTTCTGAAAACCCTATGGAGCACAGTTCTGTACTGACATACATAGGGTTGTCATGAGGTGGGATCAACTCAATGGCAACTGGTGTTCATTAATACTTTTTCAAAGAAGGAAGGCTTGCTGATCTACTTCTGAAAATCAGCCAGTGAAAACTCTATGAGTCACAATGGCACGGTCCTCAACTAATCATGCAGATATCACAGGCAGTGTTTTGTTTCATTGTGGATGGGGTTGCCATGAGTCGGAGACTGACTTGGCAGCAGCTAACAACAAAAATAGTGCTTTGCAAAATACAGTAAAATGAAGGGCTCAAGGGAGCCATTCCAAACAAAGCCAACTCATTCATCCATTATTTCTTCAAAATCCAGGAGATGTGGGAGATCTAAAGACAGGAGGGCATATTTCCAGCTTTAGTGGAAATTGAAGTCTAGTTAGGAAAATTATGTCTGTGAACACCATAATGAAATGTTGTGTGTTCTATGTGCTGGGGAAATGATTGCTCTTTAACCATTATTTTATTGGCTTTACCATTTTTGTTTCTGATTGATTGAGAAACCAAACCAAACCCACTGCCGTCTAGTAGATAACCGCTCATAGCAACCCTATAGGATAGGATAGAATTGCCACGTAGGTTTCCAAGGCTCTAAATCTTTATTGAAGCAGACTGCCACATCTTTCTTCTATGGAGTAGGTGGGTTCCAACTGCCAACCTTTTTGGTTATCAGCCAAGTACTTAACCCCCTGGACCACCAGGGCTTGTTGTCTGAGTGAGTCACCTAGTTAATTAGTGGAAAATAAAAATTTTCTTATCCTTTCAGCCTATAAAAGTTTAGTTTTAGCAGCATGAGCTCTGAAATCGTATGGCCCTTGTTTAAATCCTGTCTCTGTACCTTTCCAGCTTTCAAATTCTGGGCAAGTCGGTCACTCAACATCTCTAAGTTTCATTTTCTACCTCCCTAAAATAGGGGGTGGTGTAGTGCCTAAGCCATTTGACTACCAACCAGAAGACTGGTGGTTCAAACCCACCAGCCACTCCTCTGAAGGAAGAAGGTTGGGCAATCTACTTCCGTAGTGATACTGCCTCGGAAACCCAAGGAGGGGTCATTATGAGTCAGATGAGACTCCATGGCAGTGAATTTTTTTTTTTTTTAAAGGGCTAGGAAAACACCCCCTCACAAGATTTTGTTCAGTTTAAGTGAGAAAATGCATCACTGCAGAAACTAGCATATTATAAGTCCTGTTGTTGTTGTTGTGTGCCGCCAAGTGGGACCCAACTCACAGCGACCCCTCCTTGGGTTTCTGAGGTGGTATCACAATGGAAGTAGATTGCCCCATCTTCCTTCCGAGGAGTGGCTGGTGGATTTGAACTGCCAGGCTTCTGGTTAGCAGTCAAGTGCCTTAGGCACTATGCTACCAGAGCTCCTAATGAAATAAATATAAGTTACTGTATAATAATTAGGGAGCTCTGGTGACATAGTGATTAAATCATTTGACTGGTAACCAAAAGGTTGGCAGTTGTAAACTACCAGTTGTTCCACAGGAGAAAGATAAGGTAGTTTGCTTCTGTAAAGGTTTACAGCCTTGAAAACCCTATGGGGCATTTCTACTCAGTCCTATAAAATTGCTATGAGTTGGAATCTACTCAACGGCAGTGGTTTTGTTTTTTTGGTACAATAATTATTATAATTGTGAATCTTTCAAGGAGGCATTAAAGAGATCTGTTTATCATTCCATCTTAGATATCCTAAATTCCATTTCATTTCAGTTTTTCTCACCCCATTGTCATCCTCCCCCACAGTCCATAAGCTTTCCCTCTGTGTTTTCTCTCTTTTCTCCTTATTATCATATTCTTCCCTGTTATCACCATAGTGATTCATCTCATACTTCCCTTTCTTTTGTCTCTTGTCGATCTTTCTTCAGGTCAAAATGTAGACAAGAAATACAACCTTTCAGTTGAAAGAAATTTAAAAGTGATCTCATCCACTTTCCTATTTTACAGATGAGGAAAGTGAAGCTCAGGAGTAGTGAAGAGTTTGTCCAAGGTCATAGCTCAGTAAACCATGAAACCAGTGTTCTCTTGGTGATGTGTTGAGGTGTTATTATGAACTAGTTGGGAGATTGGGTGTATATTACATTGTGAATACTATCAAGTTTGTGAGTTTAATTTTTTTTTTTTTTCCATAAGGAAACTTTTCTTCCATGGCTGATGACATACTCTTGAATCAAGCCAACAGAATAACTTTCTGGTCAGTATCTGGTGGGGATAGTGGTGGTTCTGTGGTAGAATTCTTTGTTTACCATGGGGAAGGTCTGGGTTTGATTTCTCACCAGTGTACCTCAGGTGCTTTGTTGTTGTTGTTGTGTTTGCCATTGAGTCAGATCTGACTCATAGAGACCCCTCCTTGGGTTTCCGAGGTGGTATCACTATGGAAGTAGATTGCCCAACTTTCTCTCTAAGGAGTGGCTGGTGGGTTTGAATTGCCAGCCTTCTGGTTAGCAGTCAAATGCCTTAGGGACTATGCCACCAGAGCTCCCACCTCAGGTGTAGCCATCACCTAATGTAAGTGGAAGCTTGAGTGTTTCTATGATTTTTAACAGGTTTCAGCAGAGCTTCCAGACTAATACAGACTAGGAAGAAAGGCCTGACAATCTACTTTCAAAAATTAGCCAGTGAAAACCCTATGGGTTACAATGATTCAATCCCCAACTGATCATAGTGATAGCACAGGACCAGGAAGCATTTTGTTTTGTTGTGTATGAGGTTGCCGTGAGTTGCAGGCTGACTCAGCTGCAGTTAACAGTACAAGTATTTTAAAAACTAAAATCAAGGGATTTTAAAATTTATTATTATTAAATTTATTTATTTACTATTAAAGTCAAGTGATTTTTTTTTTCCTGCTGATTTTTCTAGATGTTTTGATGATTTGATTCTCTTTGGGACATGGTGTATACTTTTAAAAAAGACTTACTCCCCTTATCCATATACTGTTTCACTTCTCTATTTTCCAGCATCAACTTACATGCAAGGACACTGATCACAGCCACAGATGAGGATGGCAAGTGTGCGCTGCAAGCTGGCCTGTTACTTGGAGGACCTAGAGGACATAGACTTTAAAAAATTCAAAATGCACCTGGAAGATTATCCTCCTCAAAAGGGCTGCATCTCACTGCCCCGGGGCCTGACAGAAAAGGCAGACCACCTGGATCTAGTGACCCTGATGATTGATTTCAATGGGGAAAAGAAGTCATGGGCCATGGCCATATGGATTTTTGCTGCAATCAATAGGAGAGATCTTTATGAGAAAGCTAAGATGGATGAGCCAGAGTGGGGTGAGTAGAAGGAAGACAGCATGTTCTTTGAATCATTTCTCTTATTATCTTGGCTGTATATATCTTCTTTTTTCCTTTCATAGTACTGCTAAGACCAGATGGAGGAATACAATTTGTTTTTATCCTAAGTCTGTTAAAAACCCAGCTCAGATCTTATCTATGCCTAGGAACATATCCTCGTTAGTCCCACTTTATCAGAGAGATTCCTTTGCCTGGAATTCTATATCCAGATGGTGACATCACTGCTTCCATCCAGAGCCTACCTAGATTAAGTCAGCAAACTTGAGTCTGCTTCTGATGGTTCAGGGACCATTTTTTTACCTTCCAGAATGATATAGTTTGTGGCACAAAGTCTTTCCTGTGGCCACTATTTTTTGTGTTGGAATGATAAGAGAATTCTCTTAATCTTGTGCATATTATGGGGATGAGGTTTTCCCTTTTGACTTCATGTTCTAGCAAGAGAAAGACAAATGGAAGGTCCCAGAGGAAACTGGAAAACCACAAGGTTTTATTTGTTGAGTAGATGATGTTGGAAGGGTGGAATGAAAAGAATTGGTAAATGAGGAGAAGAAGGGAGACTTGGTTCAGTGGTGGAGGTGTAATGAAGGAGAATAATAATGTAGTAATAATGTAATGCAAGAGATAAAAATTCCTGGTGGAATGAGCGTGGAGTGCAGTTAGTGGGATATTATAAATAAACTAAGTACCATAATTATGGTTGTATGAGTGCTTATATACTGATATAACCAAAGTATAATTACAATAAGTTATGCAACTATGCTAAGCCATGTTCATGAGTTTTGTTGTTCATGCCTCACACGAACCCTGTGGACTAGGTGCTGTTTTAGTCATACTTCCAAATGATCAAAGTTAGCCTTGAAGAGGTTCTAGTTGCCATTCTGATCAGAGCCAAGCCCAGAATTCAAAGCCTTATGTGCTTCTTGCTGAACTCTGGCTCTTAACCACTATGGTATATTGGCCTCTCCATGGATAATATCTAATCCCCACTTTTTACCTCTCTGCCACTTCTGTTCTCACACCAACTACACATGGAGAACCTCTTCCTCTGACTCTAACCACTTGAAGTTGCACTATATCTCACAAATTAAAGGATATTGTTCTCCAGATTACCAAGTCTGCCAAGCTTGGGAGTCCACAAAGCTCCCCTTGCTTCAGATTTTCTGGCCACAAATTTGAAGATTCCCCTCAGATGCTAGCTGCAAGCTCAGAGTTTCCCATGCCCTGTCACTTCTGACCTGATGGTTCTCACTACTCCCTCAGGTCTCACAATTCACTGGAATGCTTCTGTAGAATGCAAAGAAAGTGCTATACTTACGAGTACAGTTTTATTATAGCATAAAGGATACAAATGAAGAGTCTGGAAGGGTTCCCAAAGTGGAACTCCAAAAAGGGAGTCATTACTCTCCCACATGCATTGCTATCTTTCACCAACAAGGAAGCCCATGGTGCTTCTGTGTCCAGAGCCTTTACTGGGGTTTCATTATGTAGGCACAATTGATTGGATCATCCCCCTTCCCCTGAGGAGTTTGATATCATGAGGTGGTCTTTCTCGCCTGGTCAGCCCCTACCTGATTAATCTCATTGGCACAAATACTCAGGTGTGCTCTGGAGGCCTAAAGATAATACAACCCAAACCAAACCAAACTCACTGCCATCAAATTTATTCTGACTCAGTGACCCCCACTGGGTTTCCAAGGTGGTAAGTCTTTACAGAAGTAGATTGCCCTATCTTCCTTCTATGAAGCAACTGATGGGTTTGAACCTCCAACCTTCTGATTTAACAGTCAAATGCCTTAGGTACTGCACCACCAGAGCTCCTATAGACAACAAAGGCACTTCAATTACTCTAGAAATGCCAACAGTTTAGAAGTAACTCTCAGGAACCAAGAGTAAAGACCAAATTCTTTGGGTACAGTTAATATAAATCCCAGAGCTTCCATCTCTGGGCTTAGAAGTGGAAGAATTACAACCAAAAGTTGGAAATATTTTTCTAGGCTTGGGTTAGGCTTTAGGCAAAAGTTAAGATTTGGTCTAGGTTTGAGATAATGTTTGGATTGTGCTTTGTTTCTAATAGTATTTGAATTTAGAATAAGTAGCACCTACCGGGAATCATTTACGTAGCTCTTAAGTCCCTGATCTATGATGACTTGTCCATACACTTGTGTCTAGGCCTTGTTCTGTCATGGCTAAATTTCTCCCCAAAGAGATCCTCATTTGGATGCAGTATTTAGTGACTATTTAGATCAGTGATTCTTAATCCTGGATGCCCTTTAGAATTTCCTGGGAGCCATTAAAAAGACAAAAATGGTGTCTGGGCTCCATCTGGGACTAATTGAAAAATAATTGCTGAGAATGTAGTCCTGGAATCTGTATTTTAAAAACTCCCCAGGTTAATCTAAAGCCAGTCAGAATTCTGCACCACTAAACTAGATATAAAGCAGGTAATTCTCACTCTTGAATTCTAGGATTCTCAGAAACCTTCACCCAAAGGTACAAGATGTGAGTAAGATGAAATGCAGTATCTTAGTGATATTGGAGTGCTTGAGGATGGCCTAAAAATCAGGATACTGGGCTGGGAGAGTGCCAAAGATGAGCATGGATAAAGAGAAACATTGCCTGCCTAACATGTTGATCAATTTTCAGGGCTGGGGAAGAGATTCTGGTACTAGGTATGATGAAGGTTATAATGTTCAGCAGGGGGGCAACCGTTACTGTTCTGAAATTAGGAATGCCTCTAAGTGGTTGAGTGGTTGTCAGGGGTAAATTACCCAATAAGCAAGGTAAGCACAGGCTTGTATGTGCTTACTTACTAACTGTACTGAACAATTTCACATGGGTTTCACCAAATCAATTTTTTTTCCTACAGATTAGTAATTAAGTACAAGTAACCCCGTGTTTACCTTGCTTATTTGGTATTGTGTCTCTGTCAGGGACTGTAAATTTGAAAAGAGGCTTTGATTCTGTAGGAAGGTGCTGTGGAGTTGGAAGAGAGACAGATGCCAGCCATACCTAGAAGCAGAATCTTTGATGTGGTAACAAATCTGGAATTGCTCACTACAGATTAGGAAGTAAGTATAAGCAAGCCCGTGTTTACCTTGCTTATTGACTAATCCCACCCTGCTGGACATTCTACTACACACCTGGCATCTGCAACTCTAAAGCCAAGTTTTCCGTTTGGGAGCTGTCCAGGGTAAGTGCCTTTAACCTATGCAAGTTCTAGGCTGTGTCTCACTTACATCCCATTAGTTAAGAGTGCAAAAGAGCCCTGGTGGTGTAGAATTTACAGCATGTAGCTGTAAACCAAAGGATTGGCAGGTCAAAACCAGCAGCCACTCTGTGGGAAAAAGCTGTGGCAATCTGCTTCAGTAAATTACAGCCTTGGAAACATTATCGGGCAGTTCCACTCTATCTTATAGGATTGGTATGAGTCAGAATTGTCTGGACAGCAATAGATGAGTTAGGAGTGCCAGTTTTTGACACTTTTTTTCCCCTTTTATATTCAGATAATGCACATGCTTCTCCACCAACTGTGATTTGGCAGGAAGAGAGCATTGGAGAGGAGTGGACGGGTTTACTGGGATATCTTTCCAGAATCTCTTTTTGTAAAAAAAAAGGTAAGTGATAAGGATGGTATTTCTAACTGGGTTTTGAGACGCATTACGGAAGGCATTGGGAAGCTGATTACATGCTCCTGCTCAATGAACCCTTCATGTTCATTGTGATGAAAACTACTCCTGTTTCAGGAAATCTGTTATCACTCAAAGAAACTGGATTCATGTCTGCATGATTTCTGCAGTCCCAGAACTGAGGAAATGTGGGTGCTTAGTGATTCTGGTTTTAGCAGACCTGGGCTGCAGACTATATAAGGAAATGAGATTCAAAAAAGTATTTTCTGATTGGTTTGCTTCTTTTCTGCTTAATTGTTTATGTGAAGAATTTGATACCAGAGGTTCTGGAACATTCTATACATAAGCAGCAGAGAGATGTTCCTCATATTTCTCAGTTGCAGTTGCCACTTGCTATTGATCACAGGCCCCTGTGTCTATTTCATCTCAAGTGGATGTGTAAGGAGCTTTCCCCAAAGTCTAACTTTCTGTCTTTGCCTTAGATTATTGTCAGACATACAGAAAACATATAAGAAGCAGATTCCAGTATATTGAAGACAGAAATGCACGTCTTGGTGAGAGCGTGAACCTCAACAAACGGTATACCCCACTACGTCTCGTCAAGGAGCACCCCAGCCAGAAGGAGAGGGAGCATGAGCTTCTGGCCATTGGCCAAACTGCAGCAAAGATAGGGGACAGCCCTTTGAGTTCCATCAAGATGGAACTTCTGTTTGATTCTAATGACGAAAACGCAGAGCCCATACACACGGTGGTGTTCCAGGGAGCGGCAGGCATTGGGAAAACAATACTGGCCAGGAAGATTATGTTGGACTGGGCATTAGGGAAACTTTACAAAGACAGGTTTGACTATTTATTCTTCATCCACTGTCGGGAAGTGAGCCTTATGACACGGAGGAGTCTGGCAGACCTGATTGTTAGCTGCTGCCCTGATCCAAACCCTCCCATATCCAAGATAGTGAGCAAGCCATCCAAGATCCTGTTCCTCATGGACGGCTTTGATGAACTACAGGGTGCCTTCGATGAGCACACAGGATCACTCTGTACAGACTGGCAGAAAGCAGAACGAGGAGACATTCTCCTGAGTAGCCTCATCAGAAAGAAGCTGCTTCCTGAGGCCTCCTTGCTCATCACCACGCGGCCAGTAGCCCTAGAGAAACTCCAACACTTACTGGACCATCCCCGCCACGTGGAAATCCTGGGTTTCTCAGAGGCCAAGAGGAAGGAATATTTCTTTAAGTATTTTTCAGATGAGCACCAAGCTAGGGAAGCCTTTAGGTTAATTCAGGAGAACGAGATCCTTTTCACTATGTGTTTTATCCCCCTGGTATGCTGGATTGTGTGCACTGGGCTAAAGCAGCAGATGGAGAGTGGCAAATCCCTTGCTCAGACCTCCAAGACAACCACTGCCGTGTACATCTTTTTCCTCTCAAGTTTATTGCAGCCCAGAGGAGGAACCCAGGAACGCCACCTCTCTGCCAACCTCCGAGGACTCTGCTCTTTAGCTGCCGATGGAATCTGGAACCAAAAAATCCTCTTTGAGGAGTATGACCTCAGGAATCATGGCCTTCAGAAGGCCGATGTGTCAGCTTTCCTAAGGATGAACCTCTTTCAGAAGGAAGTGGACTGTGAGAAGTTCTATAGTTTCATTCACATGACTTTCCAGGAGTTCTTTGCTGCCATGTACTACCTGCTGGAAGAGGAAGAAGAGAGGGAAAAGAGGAAGAAGCCACGGAGTTGTTTGAAACTTCCCATCCGAGATGTGACAGCCCTTCTTGAAAATTATGGGAAATTTGAAAAAGGGTATCTAATTTTTGTTGTTCGTTTCCTTTTTGGCCTTGTAAACCAGGAGAGAACCTCTTACTTGGAAAAAAAACTAAGTTGCAAAATCTCACAGCAAATCAGGCAGGAGTTACTCAAATGGATTGAAGCTAAAGCCAAGGCCAAGAAGCTACAGATCCAGCCCAGTCAGCTGGAATTGTTCTATTGCTTGTATGAGATGCAGGAGGAGGACTTTGTGCAAAGAGCCATGGACCATTTTCCCAAAATTGAGATCAACCTCTCCACTAGGATGGACCACGTAGTTACTTCTTTTTGCATTGAGAACTGTCGTCGTGTAGAATCACTTTCCCTGGGCTTTTTTCATAACTTGACCAAGGAGGAAGCAGAGGAGGAGGAGGAAGGTCGACACCTTCGTGTTGTCAATTGTGTCTCACCATGTTCCCATGCTGACCATTGTTACCAGTAAGGAAATTCAGGCAGGGGTAGATTATACTTCCTCTTTATAACCACCTTTTCCTCGGCACTTGCTCATTCTTCCCTATTCTTAACTGTCTTTCAAAGGCAATTGTCACTAAAACCAATAGCAGTTTCTGTCAAGTAGACTTTGACTCATGGCAACCCCATGTATGCTAGAGTAAAACTGTGTTCCATAGGATTTTCAATGCTGATTTTACACAAGGATGTCACCAGGCCTTTCTTTCAAGATGTGTCTGTGTGGACTCAAACTTCCAACGTTTCAGTTAGCAGCTGAGCGTACTAGCCCTTTGCACCATCTAGAGACTCCAGGCAACCACCACTACTACCTAATAATGCCACCACTACACACCTATTTCTACTATGCCCTTTCAATGGCTGAGATACACTGGTGGAGGTATGGTAGGTAGATAAATGGAAGGACAAAGAATCAGTGGAAACAATGAACAAATGTTTTGTGAATAACAATTCAGTACAAGGAATTGTTCTAGGTATTATGTGGGGGTATAGAAGTGTATAAAAAAGTTTCTAAATGTACATTTCTTTTAATCTACTTGGGTTCTAATGCATAATAGTAAAATAGCCATGACATTAACTGCTTAAGGGGCAGAACAGCGTGTCCCAGGAACACAGGAAAACAGAGCACCCTTTAAACTGGAGGCTGAGGGGGTTTCTCAGAGGTGGGAAGTTTAAGCCTGCTTTGAAGGATTGGTAGGGTGCAGATTTGTAGAGAAGAATGTGAAGGGAATTGTGGGCATGGCAACTAGTCTAAGCAAAGGTATGGAAATTTTCTGAGTGGGAAGGTGGCTTCATTGATGCAAAGGTAATGAGGTGAAATCAAGTGTTTTAATAGAGTTTCTAGACTGAGACTAGGAAGAAAGGCTTGGAGATCTACTTATAAAATTCAGCCAATCAAAACCCTATGGATCACAGTTGTCCAATATCCTTGTGTATAGGATTACCATGAGACAGGGGCTGACTAGATGGTAGTTAGCAACAAGAACAGAACTGGAAAGGTGAGACCACACCCTCTAGCCCCCATTTTGCTTTTTCCAGGCAGTTGCCAAAAGCACCCCCTTCAAGGTCTGTTGTATACAGACTTGCTAAGGTTTTGGAAGCCAGCCACCATGTCTATAAAATGAAATAATGGAGTTACCTGATTTCTGAAGTTCCTTTCAGGTTTGCCATTCAGTGACTCCTGGGTGGGGATTTCATAATTTCCTAGGGCTGCCATTAGAAAATTCCACAAAATTAGTGGCTTCAAAGAACAGAGATTTATTGTCCCACAGTTCTGGAGGCCAGAAGTCCAAATTCAGGGTGTTGGCAGGGCCATACTCTCTCTATCCACTGAGGGGAAGATCCTTCCTTGTCTCTTTCAGTTTTCCTAGTCCAGAGGGTCTCTTGGCTTTCCTTGGATTGTATACGTATCCTTACATGGTGTCTGTCTTACCCCTACATAAGACTCTCAATAACTATTCTCTCTTTCTATAAGACACCACTCAGATGAGATTAAGACTCACCCTACTCCAGTATGACTTCCTAAATTTACAGAAAAGAAAAACTCTATTTCCAAATAGGGTTACATTTATAGGTACCAAAAACCAAACCAAACTCACTGCCTTAGAGTCAGATCTGACTCATAGCAATCCTTCCTTGGGTTTCCGAGGCAATATCATTACAGAAGTAGATTGCCAATCTTCCTTCTGAGGAGTGGCTGCTGGGTTTGAATCACCAGCCTTCTGGTTAGCAGTCAAATGCCTTAGGCACTGTGCCACCAGAGCTCTTATTTATAGATACAGTGGTAAGGATTTCAAGATGTTATTTTGGGGGACTGCCCACAGTGGCTGGGGAGAGGTGGACCCTGTGTAAATGTATGGGTTTAACCTCTATATAAGACATGGAAAAATTTGACATAGAATAAATATTAAGAAAAAAGGGATGATACATCCTTCAACTGATAGATAACATTGAGTTTTCGGCTCTCAGCCTTGACACCACTACCAGGATGGCCTTTTTATTCATCATTCATTTGTCAGGGACCTCCCATTGGGACTTTGGCAATGGCTGAGACCCAAGTCCTGCTCATCAGAATTCCAGGCTGGTTGTGGAGATAATTGGGAAAAAAGTGAAGAGGGTAGAGGGTCATGTGCAATGATAAAGGCAATCACAGAGAGTACTGGAGGCACACAGGGCCAGCTGGGAAAGTATCTGACGTAGTCACACCTCAGTCCAATTCTGAGGGATAAGGAGTAAGTGCGGGGAATGGGAAGCCCAGAGAGCAGGAAGTGGGAAAGAAGGGTACCTTTTGACAATGACAAAGAGTTCAGAATGACTAGATAGAAGGCAGGAGAGAGAGAAAGAGGAAGAGGGAAGGGTGAAGGGAGAGAGATAAAGATAAGAAAGAGCAGAGAATAGAGAGGAAAGATGGAAGGAGAGAAAGGAAGCAGATAGGCTCATGAAGGAGCTTAAAGTGAGGCAGAGACAACAGAAAACCTGACCAAGTTCACTTAGCTATGAAAAAGGCTCTCAGGAATTCATACTCATAGCTCCTGATACAGAAACCCTATGCTCTTTTCTCTAGATGGCAGCTACATTTTTCTGAGGTAGACACTTGCCTTTATACATTCTAGAAAGTTGCAAGGACCAGATGGGTCCATTAGATGGGTCCATTGTTAGAAGTGCAGAATCTCAGACCTGACCCTGTACTTTCTGAGTCAGAATCTGCATTTCAACCACGGTCACATCAGCAATTCAAACATGGCTCCCCAGTGGAATCACTTAGGAGTTTAAGAGTCCCCCCCCCCCTTTGGGTGAGGCCTGCATCTTGAGAATTTTGAGAGCACTTCTATGTAAAAAAACTCTTTGGGACCATAGCATAGAGTCTCCACACCCATGGAAAGGATGCCACTGGTGAGCAACAGAGAAGAAAACCCAAGGGAGCAGAAGACACTCACAGTCAAGCAAAGTCACAGGCGCGCTTTTTTGTGCCACAAATTATGGGGTATTTGTTTTACCAAGGTTCCCTAAGGTCCTTTCCACTTCTAGATGAATGCTGGTTAGTTCTATGACTCATTTCTTAATCCCTGGGCAGTTTTCTCTGAATTGGTGCCAACTGATCCTGGCCCCTACCTTCAATTTGGTATTGTGAGAGACTGATGTTTTTCTCCTCTTCTACCTTCCCATTTCTAGTTTGGTGAACTGCTACCCCACTTCCAGCTTTTGCAGGGGCCTTTTCTCAGTCCTGGGCACTAACCCAAGCCTTACTGAATTGGACCTCAGTGACAATACTCTGGGAGACCCAGGAATGAGAGTGTTGTGTGAAACACTCCAGCATCCTCACTGTAACATTCGGAGATTGTGGTAAGTCTGTGTGTGTGTGTGTGTGTGTGTGTGTGCATGCTGTCATGCACTTGTGCACACATGCATGTGGCCATGAGTGAGTGAAGAGGGCCTAGAGAAAAGTCTTAGGGACATGGTAAGTGGGAAGGCAAAATGGTTTGGAGGCTAGTTTTTTGGAAAGTTTTAGATGGAGAAGAATGAAGGAGAACCAAAAGGAAATATTTTCTTGTAGTACAACAAGGCATTCTAATACTAAGGAGCTCTGGGGGCATAGTGCCTATATGTAGTACAACCTTTAATTCTTCATTGGTCATGTGATGAGAATCAGAAAGCTTCATCACATATAACAATAATTACTGGGCTGGAAACAATCAAAATACTGTGTATGAGTTTAGTTATCGCAGGAAATTTCCTATAGATTTATTAATATGATGCTCCCTCTTGGTCCAGACTGAGTTGATATGAGTTGAACTTGCAGATGCTTGGGCCATACTTCCATCCCTCTTCAATCACATTGTCTGTAGTGCATGCAGGCATTTACATTTTGATGAGCTACATAGTCAGTATTAAAGTCCATCGCTCTTGATGGTTTTATGCCTCTTTCTGTATTTCCTCATACCATCTCATCACCAAGTCTTATCAATTTTACCTACTAAAAAATTGTTTACTTTCCTCAATTCTACTCCACCAGCCCAGGTCAAACTACAACTATGATGTCCTTGGACAATTGCAATGACTTTCTATATTACCAGCTAACTGAGGGCAGAATTTGTGTTTATTTTGCCATTGTCTCTGCACCATTATGGCAAGTGTTGTAGCACATATTAGAACTTAAAAATACTACTGAAATAACAGTGACTGTATGATCTCCCTGAGTCCACTTCTCTCCACCCCTCCACACAAATCCATTCTCTACAGAGAAGTTAGAGGATTGTTTAAAAAAATTGATTAAGCCATTACCTTGCTTAAGTGTCTTCTTTTTATTTATTTGATAAATTACAAATCCTCCCTTGTTTTTAAAGCTCTGGCTGTTTCATTAAACATGACTGATAATAAGATGTTTTGTGGATAAGCAGAGATCTGTTTGTCCATATGTTTGTAGTTGGTAGTAGGATGGGGGAGAGAGTGAGGTGACAGGCTCTAAAACCAAAAACAAAACCAGACTCACTGCCACCAAATCGATTCCAACTCATAGGATTTCCATTGGGTTTCTGAGGTGGTAAATCTTTAAGGAAGTAGATTGCTCCATCTTCCTTCCATGGAGCAGCTGGCGGGCTTGAACTGCCAGCCTTCTGGTTAGCAGTCAAATGCCTTAGGCACTATGCCACCCAAACAGGCTCTCCAGGACATATGAAATAATGTCTTGGAAAGGAGATGGAAAGTTGTCCTTGCCCAATGGTAGGGGGCACATTGGTGGTGGTGTGTTGTTGTTGTTGTTGGTGTTCATGTGGTTGTAAAACAAATCAGGAAATAAAGTTTCTTTCTCCTTCAGATGGAGAGCTGGGATTAAATCATCAAACAGAACTATGGAGTACAAAGTTGGTGAAGAAAAGAAGTAGAGGGGAGCAACCCTAGACAGAACAGCACCCAGCTGAGGGCACTTCACTGTTAGTAATTGGAATTGAGAATGCATGTGGAAAGGAGGTGGAACCCATAGGTTTACCACCTTTTCCATTTACAAAAAAGAACGTGACATTTAACCATAGAAGAATTTCTGAGTTTATCTCTGAGTGTCTGTCAGTAGTTCTGTCAGTTAGTGTTAGTTATGGGAAAGGCCTTATACTAAGGAGCTCTGGTGGCATAGTGCCTAACACAGTTGACTGCTAACCAGAAGGCTAGTGGTTCAAACCCACCAACCACTCCTTAGAAGGAAGATTGGGCAAGGTGCAAAAGTAATTATGCCTGTCTTTAAAGTTCTTACTACATAGCTGAGAAAACAAGGTTCATTACAATTGGCTAGATATTATGGCACATAACAACAACAACAGATATTATTTACTCATTGGAGCTCACAGGCTGGTGCTTAGTAGTTATGGTATCAGGCTATGAGCTAATGAGTCTGAGAGCTAAATTCCCAGGACGTATTCAGTAGTTCTTTGATAATACTATAAATCACTTAACAGTGTGTTATAATTTTCTCTTTGCAATGTGCTAAAACAAAGGTCCTGGTCAAGGGGCAAGGTTGTGGTCACTGCTTGGTCACAGCCAGCTACCCAGAGAGACTGAGTAGTTGAACCTGCGGGATTGGGACAATAGTCGCAGGGGATATCAAGCTCAATTGGCATAACATACTATATAAAACATTGATCCACCTCCTACTTTGGTGAGTAGCGACTGGGATCTTAAAAGCTAGCAAGTTGCCATCTAGATGCAACGATGGGTCTCTCCTCATCCAGAGCAAAGAAGAGTGAAGAAAACCAAAATTCATTGGAAACAATTAGTCCTAGTGACTGGTACACCACCTGATCTGCAGCCTGTAAAACTATGAGACCAGAAAAACTAGATGGTGCCTGGCTACCACTGTCATCCACTTGGAAGGGAATCTATGTAGGAGATCCTTGATGGAGAGGGAGAACAATGTGGAACAAAACTCAAAATCATTTGGAGAAAAAAAAAAAAGGTGGGGACCAGGTTTGCTGGTCTGATAGAGCCTGGTGGAACCACTGAGACTATGGCCCCTAGCTGCCCTTCAGGTCTGGAATTGAACCCACACCTGTGGTTTCCAGCCAAACAAAAGACAGGCATATGAGTTAAACATTTACCTCAAGTAGATACACTCCTTGGAGAGAACAATCATGGGAGAAAGAAGGGCCGATTATGCACAGGGAGACAGCTCAGGGGGCAGGAGTGTATGGAGGGATGGACACTGGGAAGAGGTAACTATGGGGAGGAAGTGGGAGAGGAGCTGTTGCATTGTGGTAAACTGTGGTCAATGACATGAGACAAAGTATATGTGAACTGCTGTATGGAAAGTGAATTTGCTCTGTAAATCTTCACCCAAATCACAATTAAAAAAAAAAAGAGGAAAAAAAAAAAGGAAAGAAAGAAAATAAAACAAAAGTCCTGGTGCTGAAATCAAGCTTACAGTGTCAGGCAGTTTTATAGAAGACCATGTTGTGATTCTTTCTTTTTCTGTTTTTTGCGTGAAGGTTAGGGCGATGTGGTCTTTCTCATCACTGTTGCCTGGACATCTCCTCAGTCCTGAGCAACAACCAGAAGCTGGTGGAACTGGATCTGAGCAACAATGCCCTAGGAGATGCTGGGGTCAGACATCTGTGTGTGGGACTGAGGCATTTATTCTGCAATCTGAAAAAGCTCTGGTGAGTCTGAACTAATTACTGTTATGAAAGGTAAGACCATAGCTTTCATGAAGCACAAGGAGCTAGAGTTTTAGTGTAAGAATGGCTTTGGCTGATAGAAGAGTTACTGTGTTTATCTCTGAGTGTCTGTCAGTAATTCTGTCAATTAGTGTTTATTATGGGAAAGGCCTTATACTAAGGAGCTCTGGTGGCATAGTGCCTAAGGCATTTGACTGCTAAACAGAAGGCTGGTGGTTCAAACCCACCAGCCAGTCATTAGAAGGAAGATTGGGCAAGGTGCAAAAGTAATTACGCCTGTCTTTAACGTTCTTACTGCCTAGCTGAGAAAATAAAACCAGTACAATGCATTACTTTATACTAGTTTTGGAACTTCATGACAAATGCAGCCCAAAGTCTGCACCCCAGTAGGAAACATTGGGCTAAAGCAATGTGGGCATTTAATATTATGTAAAGCCCTTTACTGAACACTTCTGGGAGATGTGAATTTTTAAGAAGCAAAGAAGATGCTTAAAAATGGTAGGGATCTGGGGGGATCTGTGTAAGTTTAGGATGAACTGGGAAAAATGTTACTTACTGCATAAAAAAGGAATCAAAAGTTAATATAGAACTTGGATCCACTCCTATCCCATGTATGGACTAGATAGAGACAGAACAGGTTTAAGCCTCTTTGGTGCAAAGTGAAAAGTGAGGAGAGAGATGTGATTGTGACACTCTACCATATCTGTGGAAGGCTGGTCAGCTGCTGTCTCACATCAGATTGCTGTCAGGATCTTGCCTCAGTCTTGAGCACCAACCAGTCCCTGACCAGACTCTACGTTGGGGAAAATTCCCTGGGAGACACAGGAGTTGGAATTTTATGTGAAAAAGTAAAGCATCCACAATGTAACCTGCAGAAATTGGGGTAAGTCTTCTTGAGCATCTTAGCGGAAGGGCAACTTCTCTTCGTTATTTGGAAACTATGGATGAGGGTTACGTCTAATCATATGAAGTTGAGGGTGGATAAAGGAGGGAACACTATTTGAAGGAGTTCAAAGCTCTTTATTAATATAATATATGAATAAGATAATTTGGGGTCCCAGGGTGATGCTAACCCAAAGGTTAAAAGTTCAAGTCCCTGCAAAGACTCCTCAGAAGAAAAGGCCAGTGATCTACTTCTGAAAAATCAGCCATTGAATATCCTATGGAGCACAGTTCTACACATGGGGTCACAATGAGTTGGAGTCAACTTGACAGATACAGCTGGCAGTAGAATAAGATATTTAGGATTATGGGTTGAGAGAGTCTTAAGTTGGAAAAAACCTTAGAGGTTGTAGCCTAATTGAATGAAAAATGAATGAATAAGTGAAAAACTTCCTTCTAACACATTCCTGTGGATAGGCACTCATCTTATGTGTGAACTATAAACTATACAGACCAAATATGTGTGGTCTCTATAGTAGGAGAGAGCTTTAACTGGAAGAGATTTTTACATTTAGGCAGCATCCCATCTTCTACCTGTGCATCAGTCCTTGTTCTGCTCCCTGGTGCTTCACTGGATGACTCAGATCTTAATACCATAGAGACAACACTCACACTCTGGCTCTTCTTATCTCTTGTGCAAATGGTTTTAAGTCCTCAATATCATGTAGGTTAGAAACTTTTCCAATTTATTCATGCTATCCTAGATTAAAACTAGTTTGTTAACATTCTACTTTAAAACTGCCCAGAACTGAATCTAGTATTCCTAAACATGCCTGGTGGAAATTTTATTTTCTTTGATAGGATATCATATTTTTACTAGAAAAGCCTCTAGTTTCTATATGCTTTTAGCTGTCACGTCAGTTTATCAGTTCTTATTGAACTTCTTGTTGTTTTTTGTTGCCATTGAGTGAGCTCTGACTCATGATGACCCTCAGCATAACAGAATGAAGTGTTGCCTGGTCCTGTGTCATCTTCATGATTGTTAACAATTTTGAGCATACTATTGTGACTATTGTGTCAATCCAGCACATTGAGGACTTCTCTCACTTTTACTGACTCTCTGCTTCAATAGACATGATATCCTTTTCTAGTGATTGGCCCTTCCTGATCATGTGTCCAAAGTAAGTGAGTTGAAATCTCACCATCCTTGCATCTGTGAAACATTCTGGTTGTATTTCTTCTAAGACTGATTTATTTGTTCTTCTGGAAGTCCATAATATATTCACTACTCTACTCTTGACCAATGTTACTGGATCAAATGCACCTTGGTTATCAAAGTGACATCTTTGTTTTTTAAAAGTTTAAAAAAGGTTTTTGCAACACATTTTCCAAATTCAATATGTTGCTTGAACTCTTTACTGCTGCTTCCATGGACATTGATTGTTGATCCACTTTAAGAAAATAATTGACAATTTAAATTTTGCTTCCATTTATCATTAGTAAATAATAATAATAAACACTAATGAAACATTGAATATGTATCACATGTGTTCCATATTCTTTACATAAGTTATATCAGTTGGCTTCATAAAAACCCTGCAAACTAGGTATTGTTCCCAATTTACAGAAGAGAAAAAAAAATGCTAATGAAGCTTAAAACCTTTCCCCCAAGGACATCCAGATGCAGACAACCTTGTGTGGTACTGGCCACTCCCTTAATCTCTGGTGCATTGCCTTATGAGTTATTGCTAGTGCACTCTAGCCAGGTCTTCTATATCTAGTTCTCTTTTATCCAAGTGTGGTACCTCACATTTAGCCCTGTTAAATTTCATCTTATCTTCCCTTCAATACATTGTCAATATATTTCAAATCTTGATTCTTTCAATTTTATCTCTGAATACAATAAACAAACTGTATATGTTCAGATTCAATTATTAATATCAACCAGATCAGAATTAAAGATAAAATACACCAGGAAGAGTGTTTCCTGAGGAATAATCCATTACTGTGTAACTACCAGTCTTTATATGCTCAAAGAGCTCTGATATTTCCTTGAACTTGTCCCATGAGTCATCAAAAGATATCACTATATCTCTTACCACATACAATTTCTAGAACAAGTTTATATTCAATGCCTCCATTTCTTCATAATCTATTATTACGTTCCCTCAGCAAGTTCACTTCTGCTACAAATTCAAGATATGAATTTGTCCTATTACTTGCTAGCCTGTATTATCTGTGAGGGGTCTGTTGTGGGTGCTGAAAGGTGCAGTGAGTAAAACTGACCAAGACACCCTTTTCAGCAATATTCTTACAGAGAGTGACAGACAATAGACAATAGACAAACAAACAAATATGTAACTATCTATTACCAGAAAAACCAAAGTGACAGAGCAAGCTGCTACTCTGGCCAGTGGTCAGAAAATGCCTCCTGTACAGGTGACACTTGTGTAGGTACTAAGTTAAGTGAGGGCCTGTTCCATGAAGGAGCTAAGGGGAAAGCACTCCAGGCAGAAGGAACAGAAGTGAAGAAGGCATAGATTTTCTTAGTTGACCCTCTTTCCTGAGGGTACTCAGTGATCCTGTTCAACTTCTGAAGATCTTTCTTAGTCCTTACTTTATTTGATATCTGTTGCCTGTTACTCAAAGAGCTCTGGTGGCTCATTGCCTAAGACATTTGACTGCTGACCAGAAGAATGGTGGTTCAAACCACCATCCTCTCCATGGAAGGAAGAAGGGGGAATCTACTTCCATAAAGACTTACCTCTTTAGAAACACAGTGGGGGTCACTGTGAGTCAGAATTGACTCAATGGTGGTGTTTTGTTTTGTCTGTAGTTCTGTTTATCACTTCCTCCTTGAAAGCCTTTTCCTCTCTTTCCACCCAGTTTTTCCTCATAATTTTCTATCTTCCCCTTCTCCAGATTCTGTGCTGACGTCTCTTGCTGTGGGCTGAGGATTTCACCACTGGCTTCCTTGATTTCCAAATGTTTCCATACTGCCTGGAATCTCTCATATGTCCCTTAGCTTCAGCAAAAGCCTATACACAGATAGATCTATAAGCAAATCTCAAACCTAGACCTGCTGGGTCTTTATTAAAAAAGTATCACTAAAATATCAAATAATACAGATATATAAAGTGTAAAGTGAAAAAAAAAACCACTTCTTGATACACTTTTGAGAGAACCATTTTAAACAGTTTAATAAGCAAACTTTCAGACATTTTGTTATACATGCATATCCATTCATACATTGTCTGTCTGTCAACCCTCCCTTCTATCTTCATATACTGTTTGTCAAACATGGAACCAAACATGGAATCATAGCATAAATTCTTTCCTATGATTTGCTCTTTACATTTATCATGGATACATTTTCATGCTGATATATACAGATTTTCCAGATCTATATCAAACAGTGTTTTACTGCTATTCATAAGAAAACAAAAGTTCATTAGAAAGACAGGAAAGGAAGAAAAGACCAAAACAGATGTCAGAAGAGATTACAATACTTGCTCTTGAACAGAGGGTAGCTAAAGCTAATGAAAGAAATGTGAGAGCTGAATAGAAGATTTCAAAGGGCAGCTCAGAAGACAAAACAAATTATTATAATAGAATGTGCAAAGACCTGGATTTAGAAAACTGAAAGTGACAAACATGCTCAGCATTTCTCAAGTTGAAAGAACTGAAGAAAAAATTAAGCCTTGAGTTGTAAGACTGAAGGATTGTATGGGCAAAATAATAGAAAGATTAAGGAAGCATCCAAAGGATATGGAAGGATTACACAGAGTCACTGTACCCAATAAATGTGTTAACATTCATCCATTTCAGAAGGTAGTTTATTATCAAGAATCAACAGTACTAAAGGAAGAAGTCCAAGCTGTGCTGAAGGCATTGGTGAAAAACAAGGTTTCAGGAATTGACTGAATATCCATTCAGATGTTTTGACAAATGATGCAGTGCTGGAAGTGCTCACTCATTTATGGCAAGAAATTTGGAAGACAGCTGCCTGGCCAACTGGCTGGAAGAGATCCATATTTGTGCACACTGAAAAGAAAGGTAATCAAACAGAATGCAGAAATTATTGAACAATATCATTAATACCACACACAACTAAAATTATGCTGAAGATAATTAAAAAATGTTGCAGCAGTATATTGACAGGGCACTGCCAGAAATCCAAGCTGGATTCAGAAAAGAATATGGAAGGAGGGATATCATTGCTTTGTCATATTGATCTTGGCTGAAAGCAATGAATATCAGAAAGATATTTACCTGTGTTTTATTGACAATGCAAAGACATTTGACTCTGTGGATCATAACAGATTATGGATAACATTGCAAAGAGTGGAAATTCCAGAACCCTTAATTGTGCTCATGAGGAACCTATATATAGACCAAGAGGCAGTTGTTCACACAGAGCAAGGGGGTACTGCATGCTTTAAAACTGGGAAAGGTGTGTGTCAGGGTTGTATCTTTTCACCATACTTAGATACTTATTCAATCTGTATGTTGAGCAAATAATTTGAGAAGCTGGTATATATGACGAATGCAGCATCAGGATTGGAGGAAAACTGATCAACAACCTGTGATATGCAGATGACACAACCTTCCTTGCTGAAACTTAAGAGAACTTGAACATTTACTGATGAAGATCAAGGAATACAGCAGTATGGATTACAATTCAACATAAAGAAAACAAAAATCCTCACAAGTGGACCAGTAAGCAGCATCACAATAAATGTAGAGAAGATTGAAGTTGTCAAAGATTTCATATTACTTGGTTCCACAATAAACACCAATGGAAGCAGCAGTCAAGAAATCAGATGAAGTATTGCACTGGGCAAATCCGCTGCAAGAGACCTCTTTAAACAATGATGGGTCTTTCCTAGTCCAGAACAAAGAAGAATGAAGAAAACCCCAAACTCATGGAAACAATCAGTCCAAGGGACTGGTAGACCATACAATCCTTAGCTTATACGACCATGAGAACAGAAGAACTAGATGGTGCCCAGCTACTACTGTCAATCACTTGGAGGGGGATCTGTGCAGGAGATCCTGGATAGAGTGGGAGAACAATTTGGAGCAAAACTCAAAATCATAAACAAAAGACCAGGTTTGCTGGTCTGATAGAGCCTGGTGAGACACCTAAGACTATGGCCCCTAGCCACCCTTCATGTCTGGAATTGAACTCAGTGCTGTGGCTTCCAGCTGAACAACAGACAGGCATATGGAGTGAAAATTTACATCAAGTAGACATTACCTGGAGTGATCAATCATGGGGGAATAGAAGGACAGTGTTTTCACAGGGGGACAACTCAAGGAGTAGGAGTGCATAGAAGGGAAGAACACTGGGAAGAGGTAACTACAGGGAGGAAGTGGAAAGAGAGCTGTTGCATTGTGGGGAATTGCAGTCAATTTCATGAGATGAACTGCTGTATGGAAAATGAATCCACTCTGGAAGCTTTCATTCAAATCACACACACACATAAAAAAGACCTCTTTAAAGCATTAAAGAGTAAAGATGTCACTTTGAAGAATCAGGTGCACCTGACCCAGGCCATGACATTTTCAATAGCTTCATATGCATGTGAAAGCTGGACAACTAATAAGAAAGACCAAATAATTGATACCTTATATATTGTGGCGTTGGTGAAGAGTATTGAAAATGCCATGGATTGCCAGAAGAAGGAACAAATCTGTCTTGGAAGAAGTAAGGCTGGAATGCCCCTTAGAAGCAAGAATGGCCAGAATTTGTCTCTTATACTGTGGTCCTGTCCAAAGAGACTAGTCCCTGGAGAAGGATATCATGCTTGGTAAAATAGAGGGTCAGTGAAAAAGGGGAAGACTGTCGATGAGATGGATTGACACAGTGGCTGTAATGAGGGACTCAAGTATAGCAAATATTGTGAGAGTGGTGCAGGACCGAGCACTGTTTCAGTCTGTTGTCCATGAGGTTACAATGAGTCGGCACCAATTTGATGGCATCTAACAACAGCAACACATACGTAGAGTTATGTTATTGTATGCACCACAAATTATATAGCCATTCGTCAAATGATGAACTTTTGGGTGCAGTGAGCATCCCTGTTTATACAATTTTATGCATGTGTGAATATGATATCTATGAGTGAAATTAGTGATTCAAAACTTTTAAGCATGTTATATTTTGTTAGATATAACCAAATTTTATTTTATTTTATTTCCCTTTTCTCTGGCTGCATATTGTAATTGCTCCTCCTTCCCCTGAATATTACACAAGTGTCACAAACGAAGCATTTCCAGCATTGGTTTAATCATTATAATACACTCAGCCACCCCCGTCCTTTGACTTGCTTCTGCCCTCTCCTTCCCGCCTTATTCAATAATGGAACTTTCCAGAAGGCTGCCTAGCAGTAACCAGACAGCAATTCTAAATTCCTTATTCTTGTTACTTTCAGTTCCTTCCACTTCACATTTATCTTACTTAGCACCAGCAGAATATCCCTAAACTGCAAATTTGATGGAATTTGAGCCTTTGTTCAAAAACTTTCTAAAGTTCTTTGAAGTCAGAGACTTCATACCTTAGCTCAGCACACAAAGATCTCCCTAACCCAGCCCCAGATTGGCCCTCCTGCCCTTGTTCCTACTATACCCTCCACTCCATTTTTATTCATCTAGAGTTAGTCTTTATTTATAAGAACCCAGTCTTCTCTTTCATCCTTTATCACCTTTCTCCATGATATGCCTGATCTTTGACTTTGAGAAAAAGACATGATTTCATGAACCTCAGATTCCTAATCCATAAGAGGTATATGATAGTTATAACTGTGTTGCTTAACTGCTCAAGATGAGATGAGAATAAAATGAGACACAACTTGGAGCATTGGGCACACTACTTCCATAGTGATACTGCCTCAGAAACCCAAGGAGGGGTCGCTATGACTCAGATCTGACTACTGGTTATGGTTAACCTGGAGTGTCTTTCTGGAAGAAATAGTTGTAGAAGTAACTGTGTTGTTAGGGAAGACTGGATATCGAGGATTCTTCTTTTTCACCATCCTGACAGATTGGTGAATTCTGGCCTTACGTCAGTTTGTTGTTCAGCTCTGTCCTTGGCACTCAGCACTAACCAGAACCTCAGGCACCTTTACCTAAGGGACAATGCTCTTGGAGATGAAGGGATCAAGCTACTCTGTGAGGGACTCATGAATCCCAACTGCAAACTTCAGATGTTGGAGTAAGTTCCTTGGCTTACTGGGTGTATGTGGTAGCTGAGGGTGGAGGGAAATTTGGGGAGAATGGAAGATATAACCTATATTTGAGTAGTGATGATATCGTTCAAATGTTTGGCTTATTACAGGATCATGGGACTAGGAGAAATTCTACTTCTAGATGGTGTAAAGATAGAGAGTGAAGTTTTTCACATCATACTCCTGTCTAATACAAAAGAGTGGGGGCAGTATGAGATTTGTGTTTTAGGAAAATTTTGGGGAATATGCAGATTTTGAGGAAAATCAATTCACAAATTATGGTTACTAATTTGATATACACAATTCAATAGACTTGAAAAAAATAGTCCCAGATAAAAACAAGAAAAATAATCATTGATATATAAAGTTGTCCCACAAATTATGTACTATTTGTGTTCTAAACGTTACAAGGTAAAATCTGGAAGACCTGGGAGAAGAAGAGTTAAGGGGATGTTTTCCTTAAATCACTTTTCTTGCAGATTAGAAAATTGCAGTCTCACTTCACATTGCTGCTGGGATCTATCCACACTTCTGACCTGTAACCAAAGCCTGCGAGAGCTGAGTCTGGGCAGCAATGACCTAGGTGATCTGGGTGTCATGCTTCTCTGCGAAGTGCTCAAACAGCAAAGCTGCCTTCTGAATAACCTGCAGTAAGTGTGCTTTGGAAATATTTGTGCAGTGGGGTTCAGAGTTCTAAGGAAAAGTGACAAGTTACCAAAGACTGGAAGGACTCTGGCTTCATTTTCCATCAGAGTTAGGTTATACCCTGGACAGGGAGTGCAGACTTTTTTTTATTTTTTTTGGTAGTTGTTGTTGTTGTTATGTGCTGTCGAGTTAAACCCGACTCATAGTGACCCCTCCTTGGGTTTCTGAGGCAGTATCACTACGGAGGTAGGATTGCCCAACCTTCCTTCAGGAGGAGTGGCTGGTGGGTTTGAACCACCAGCTGTCTGGTTAGCAGGCAAGTGTCTTAGCCACCATGCTACCAGAGCTCCTAGAACTTTTTTGGTAGGGAACATGAATCATAAAACTAAACTAAACCCAACCCACTGCCATTGAGTTGATTCTGGCTCATAACAACACTATGCAACAGAGTAGAACCACCCCACAGGGGGTTTCTAAGGCTGTAAATCTTTACAGAAGCAGACTGCCTCATCTTTCTCCCATTCAGTGGCTGGTGGGTTCAAACTGCTGATCTTTTGGTTAGCAGAGGAATGCTTTAACCAGTGCCCCTCTTGAGCTCCTTACATGCATTATATTTAACTCCTTCCAGGTATCTATAATAACCAAAGTTCAGTTGGGTATGAAGACTTCCCATCCATGTTTCCCAAAGAAACAGCAGTCCTAACAAAACTGGCCAAGTAGGGTAAGATTTCCATGCAGGGGATTGTACTTTGTAGAACTAAACAAGTCTACAATTCATTCCAAATGAAAAGGTCTTGCATAGAGCAAGTGTTTTTGGTCATATTTCTGAGGTTTTCTAAGTGGAGAAAGAGTGCTCTAGGAACATTAAAATGAGAAATTTCATAAAATGTAGCCTGTCTGCAGTCATCAACAATATTGCCAATGTACTCACGACCTTTCTGTTAAGGCTATTTCATTAGTCTCTGTCAGCCCAAGCAATCAGCCAAATCAAGATTGTTAGACACATACAGAACAAATAACCTGACTTTTTTGGTAGTTAAGTTTCAAGGCAAATTTAATACATTTTAATTTAAGAGAAGAAACAAGAATGTACACCAAAGAAGATGTAGGAGGCATATCACCTGATTACAATGTATGGACTTTATATAGCCCTTGATTAAATGAACATTATGTAAAAAAGTTGCAAGAAAATCAAGGAAATTTAAACATTGACTGGATATATGATCAAATTAAGGAATTAAGGTTAACTTTTTTGGGCATGATGATGGCTTTATAGCATGTTTAAAAAAGCCCTCTTGAGTCAGTGTAACAGTGAAATATTTACAGATGTATGACGTGTCTTTAAAATAATCCATTGGTTGGAGGGGTGAGTGGGGCATAAATGAAAAAGATTGGCCATAAGTTGTTAATGTTGACATTGGATAATGCGCACATGCAAAATTTACTATATTATTCTTTATACTTTTACATACACTTTAAATTTTGCAAAATTTAGGGTTAAAAAATAATATAAATTATATCATGCATGTAGCATAGAATTTCACAGCTTAGAAGTTTATGAAGTTAGGGGAAGTGAGAAGAGATTTTTGAAGTCAAAAACTCTATAGAGATTTTCTTTGAAGAGTACAACCCAAGGTTTTCTATTTACTTTTACAGGTTGTGTAACATGTATTTCAATTATGAGACAAAATATGCATTGGAAACACTTCAAGAAGAAAAGCCTGAGTTGACAATTGTCTTTGAGCCTTCTTGGTAGTGATGGAAGAAGGGCTGCCAGGCATCATGTTCTATAGTACTCATGTTCCACATGCACAGAAGTGGGAATGAACGTTCCTCCAACCAACGTCAAGACCACTGCTCTGCAGTTCTGGCCTAGAGTCAGAGTGAATACTTGCTGATGGTGGCTTTATGTAGGGAATCTAAGCATCTTCTTTATTCTTGGATTGAAGACACCATGGCAAGAAAATAGTTAAGATCATATTGTTCTAATCATAGTGCCTCAGTTAGAGGATATTTTGCCTTGGTGGAGTTGTGTAATTAACTTATTCAATAGCACGTTTTCTTCTCCTCTTTTCATTCTCTCTAGTGTTCCTTTCCCTTCTTCTGTTTACTTTTTTTGATATTATTCCTACCCTCTTTCTCTTAAAGCATAGTATAGAATGAGATAATTATGTATTATGTTGCAATTTTGTAGCAGCATCTTATTTATTTTCAACTTTTGTAACATTAATATTTTCTAATAAAATAATTTGTGTCTATTGTAGCTAGTTGGAAATTAAAAAAAATATAAAAAACTTTTTTTGTATTTATTGAGTGTAATTGTTTTCTTTCCTTAATTTTAAAAGATTATGACAAAGACTCTTAATTTGTTTAAACTACTAAATATAAATTAATTGATTCATATGGTTTTTAAATTTCTTTTAAAAAGTACCTTCACTCTAATTCTGATGATTAGAATTTCAGTTCTGGTAGAATGGAAAGAATGCAGGGTTTTAGTGTACTAAATAGAGTATTATATTGAAAATGTCTTCTGCCTTTAATAGGTAAGAGTTTATTTTGAGATTTATTTCATCCTAAAACAGTTCATCTACAACACTTTACTTAGCATTAGTCATTAATTAATAAATACTGATCAGTCATTTCTCTTTGCATGGGAAAATTCCTGAACCACATGGAATTTCTTGTAATGGAAATATTATTTGCTCTGCAAAATGAGGCCATCCAAACTCTGCTACTCAAAATGTAGCTTATGAACTGTGGATAAGAAGCTTGTGAAAGAATGTAATTCAGTCACTTTACTAAGCACACTTTTTTAGCTAAACTTTTTTTTTCTTTCCATAGAAAGGCTTTCTAAGGAAGCCATGTATGATTTACATTCCAATCCAAACTGCTTGTCTTGTCTAGACAAGGAAGTTAGAAAACCAAAAGGGAAGAATATACTCAGCATTTCTTGAGCTGAAAGAACTGAGAAAAAAATTTAAGGCTTGAATTGCAATATTGAAAGAATCCATGAGCAAATTATTGAATGATATGGGAAACATCAAAAGAAGATGGAAGGAATACACAGAGTCACTGTACCAGAAAGAATTGGTTGATGTTCATCCATTCTAGGAGGTGGCATATGATCAAGAACCAATGGTATTGATGGAAGAAGTCAAAGTTGTACTGAAGGAATTGGTAAAGAAGAAGGCTCCAGGACTTGACAGAATATCTACTGAGATGTTTCAACAAACGGATGCCATGGTGAAGGCACTCACTCATCTATGCCAAGAAATTTGGAAGACAACTGGAAGAGATCCATGTTTGTGCCCATTCCAAGGAAAGGTAATCCCACAGAATGTGGAAATTATCAAACAATATCATTCATATCACACACAAGTAAAATCTTGAAGATAATTCAAAAACAATTGCAGCAGTATTTTGACGGAGGAATTCCAGAAATGCAAGCTGGATTCAGAAAAGGACATGGAAGGAGGGATATCATTGCTGATGTCTGATGGATCTTGGCTGAAAGCAAAGAATATGTTAAAGATATTTACTTGTATCCTTTCACCATGCATATTCAATCTGTATGCTGAATAAATAATCAGAGAAGCTGGACTGTACGAAGGAGAATGTGGCATCAGGATTGGAGGAAGACTCATTAATAACCTGTGATATACAGACGACACAACTTTGCTTGCTGAAAGTGAGGATGACTTGAAACACTTCCTGATGAAGATTAAGGACTACAGTCTGCAGTATGGATTACATCTCAACACAAAAACAATGGAAATCCTCACAACTGGACCAATAAGCAGCATCATGATAAATGGAAAAAAGACTGAAGTTGTCAAAGAGTTCATATTACTTGGTTCATATTACTTGAACAAGGAAGACCGAAGAAGAGATGATGCTCTTGAGTTTTGGTGTTGGCAAAGGATACTGAAAGTACCATGGACTGCTAAAAGAACAAATCTGTCCTGGAGGAAGTGCAGCTGCAATGCTCCTTGGAAGAGAAAAATGGCCAGACTTCATCTGACCTACTTTGGTCATGTTGTCAGAAGAACTCATTCCCTGGAAAAGGATATCATGCTTGATAAAGTGGAGTGGCAATGAAAAAGAGAAAGACTCTCAATGAGATGGATTGATATGGTGGCTGCTAGGATTGGCTTAGATGTAGCAAGGATTGTGATGCTGGCACAGGACTGGGCAGAGTTTCGTTCTGTTGTACATAGGGTCACTATAAGTTGGAACCGACTTGATGGCACCTAAAAATAACAACATTTACTGCCACATTTTTTCACACTATTTTGTTTATTTGTTAGTTATCTCACTGTTTAAAATAACACCCAAACAATGCTAAAGTTCTGTCTGATAGATGTTTATTGAATCCTGTACCTTACAATCAAGGAATATATATGCTTTTAAGAACTCATGTAATATTTACAAAACTGGTTATGAACTGGGCAACAAAACAAAATCACGACAAATACCGAAGAATTATTGTACTGGCCACATTCAATTATTATAATGCCATGACTTTAGCAATAACTAGTAAAAATACCAATAAGAAAAAATATATTTGGAAGCTAGAAACACACTTCTAAAAATGTAAGCTTCAATAGGGAATTAAAGCAGAAATTACAAAATACTCAGTACCAGGTGATAAAAACATCAGCTACCCCAAATTCCCACATGCCACTCCATGGGAGAAAGATGAGTTGGCTTCTGTAAAAATTTACAACCCTGGAAACACTTTGGTACAGTTCTATTCTACCCTATAGGGTCACTATGAATCAGAATCAACTAGAAGGCAGTCCCCCCCCCCCCTTTAAATGAGTCTAGTGCAACTGACTTTTAGAAAAGCAGTAGTATAAAGTCACAGCAAAAATCCATTGGGATTTTTCAAATAACACTGTGTTATTTACCTTGCTTACTCTGATTAAAATTTGTGTCCTGATTTCCCTGCTGAGAGTGTATAGCAATGAGTGGTCTCTGAAGACCAAATTTCTCTTTCCTATCAGAGTGTTTTCTGGAGAGATTTGGGTGTGAGTGTGAGAACCAGATCATTCTGTTGAAAACTGTGTACATTTAATATTGATTAATTGTTTAAAAAGATATATATTTCATTTAACTGAACTTTACTTCCTCTATGCTCTATGTTTGGGAACCCTGACAATATAGTGTTGTAGTGAAGAATGTAACAGAGAGATCCATGCTAATGACCATTAATGAAATGTAGAAAAATGATTCTATTCTAAACCCAAAATCCAAAAACCAAAAAATTGCTCTATTGCCCTCTAAGGTTGGAGAACTACAAAATTGGAAGTATGGTATCAAAAAATGATGAGTTAAATAATCTCAGAATATACTTTAAGGAAATCAAAGTCAACTAAAGTCTCATGAAAGACTTTGAGTTTTGATTCATAGAAATCTGGATTTTTGTTTATTTCCCATGACTTCAGAAAAGTTGTCTAACCTCATATTATTTCTCATCTGTATAATGGCCGTACTGATATTTCCCTCTTACTCTTGGTTGTAAGGAAATATCAGCATTTATATACCTGTTACATTTTGTGTTCGTAGTACAGGAAAGACTAAAAAATATAGTGGTAGTGATTATGGTAGTGATAGTAGTAGTAATTGCAGTGATCATAAAGTCTATGAATGATAAACTTTTCTAACATTACCTCTGAGACACAGGTAGATTATCCACAACAAGGGAATTTATGAGCCAAAAAGTCAAAACAAAGCAAAGCAAGGCAACCCAAAACAATAAACAAAACAAAATAAAAAACACCTTTTGAGGAATCTTTTGATCATTAAATTAGATGTTAAGGTCACTGCAGACATTTATTCATGATTCCTGAAGATATCCCATATACTAGTCTAACAACCAGACCAGGGAGGTGGGGAGGAGCTGGGGCCAAGACAGAGCCACAGGAGCCCAGGTAAGGGCAGGCAGACAGGCCCCACACTCAGACTCAGGAGGTGGGGGAGGAGCCAGGGCCAAGACAGAGCCATAGAATCCAAGTAAGGGGAGGGAGACAGGCCACACACCCAAGAGGAAGGAAGGGGTGAAAAATCTGGGGATGACAGAGTGACAGGATCCAGGTAAGGGGAGAGAGACAGGCCACACACCCCAGAGGCAGAACAGTGGTGATGGGGGTGGGGGAAGCTGGAGGTGATGAAGCTGCAGGATCTAGGTAAAGGGAGGGCAGAAAGATTTTGAACAGCTAAGGAAGACATACTTGTCTGTCAGTTTGTCATACTGTGGTGGCTTATGTATTGCTGTGAAGCTTGAGGCTGTGCCACCGGTGTCTCAAATGTCAGCAGGGTTGCATATGGTGCACAGGTTTCAATGCATCTTACAGACAGAGACAGATTAGGAAGAAGGAAGAAGCCATCCACTTCTCAAAAAAATTGGCCAGGTAAAACTTTATGAATAGTAGAGAAACAGTGTCTGATACATTTCCAGGCAACTTTATGAATAATCCTGAAACATTGTCTGATACAGTGCAGGAAGACCAGCCCCTTAGGTCAGAAGGCACTCAAAATATGACTGGGAAAGAGCTGCCTGCTCAGAGTAGAAATAACCTGCTTTCAGAACCTCCATTTGCTGACATGGTATGACTCAATTTGAGGAGAAATAGCTGCAAACATCCATTAATAATTGGAACATGGAATGTACGAGCATGAATCTAGGAAAATTGGAAGTTGTAAAAAATGAAATGGAACACATAAAGATTGATATTCTAGGCATTAGTGAGCTGA